CGCCTCGGGTTTTCCCGTGATAATCGGCTGCGGTGGTGTGGTTGGTCCTGCCCTGGGGTCACACGGGGCTCCCTGGTGGGCTGGGGTCCCTGGGCGTTGTCGCATCGCCGCCTGGCGGCTGTCTGCTCCTGCGAGGCTGAGCTGAGTTTCGAAGCGGGTCAGGAAATCTCCGTGCGAAATCTGGTCTTGGCTTGTGCACGGGTGGTGAGGCCAGACGACCAGCTGAGGCGGTCAGAGTGGTGGTGTACACGCGGTTCAGAGGAATAGGTATGAAATAAGAATCTTGTACAAACTTCAGCAAATTAGCTATTTTTTTTTTTTAACTCTGCCCGAAGTTCAGAGGGTCTTCGGGCTCTGCATTCCATGCTCTGCTTTTTCTGCTAAGGGTCATTAATGTTTGAGGTACTGGTCCATTAATGGGCTAATTCACCAAGAGGAACATTAGCACGAAGTCATGTTGGGTATGTGCCTACAGCCTTAGCGACGGCCCCTGAAATCTCTCAGCATTCTACCTTTATTGATTGGTGAATTGAGGTCTTTTGTAAAGTGGATGAGTTAGTTTTCGGTAAAGCTGGAACAGTAATATACAATTTGTGTGGACTGATCTCTACCACTCTGTATTTACTGACCCATATACTTGTCTAGAGGGTTGTCAGCTATGTGTTACTTTAGTTTTGTGTTGAATACATTGTATTAGCAGAGGGTCAGAAAGGTCTGTTTGCCGTGGTGAATTGTCAGCAGTAAGACGGGAGTTGTACGTGAGTTGTGTGTTGAAGGAGGAGTGAATAAGGTTGATACTGTATGAGGAGTGAATAAGATTGATACTGTATGATAGGACTGGAAAATTTAGTGCGAGTAACATTTTTGTTATCTATTTTGACATTTTTACTATAAGACTGATTTAGGTGTCACCAAAAGACAGTCCAGATGCGCATGTACGTGTGTTAGGAGTGTACTACAGCTGTGTTAAAGATGGCTGCAGTTAGCGTAGCGTAGGTACAGTCTCTTGGTTTGTCCTTCATTTGATGGCCTGTGGCCAAACAAGCTATGTGGTTCTTGGGTGGTCACTTGTGTGCCTGTTTGGAATAGATAAGGATTACAGATTTTTATTAAAATATTTGAATGATGGAGTTGCTGAAGGAGAGATGGATCTCATCAGTTCTTGACTATTCAGATATTTTATGTAATAGCTACAGTAACTCGTGTGATAGAAGATCGGTA